TTTCCAGATGGAGTCTTGCTCTGTCACCCAGGCTGGAGTGCAATGGCGCGATCTCAGCTCACTGCAACCTCTGCCTCCCAGGTTCAAGTCATTTTCCTGCCTCAGCCTCCCAGGTAGCTGAGGCTACAGGCATGAGCCACCACTCCCGGCTAATTTTTTTGGTATTTTTAGTAGAGATGGGGTTTCACCATGCTGGCCAGGCTGGTGTCGAACTCCTGACCTCAAGTGATCTGCCCACCTCAGTCTCCCAAAGTGCTGGGAATACAGATGTGAGCCACTGTGCCCAGGCATCTATAATCTTTTCAAGAACTTTCAAGTCTCCCTCCTTCTTCTAACTCCGGGAAGACTGTTTCCAGAGGCTCAATCTAGGATGCTCTGTGGCTGCCTGCCCTCCTCCCCCTGCCTCTAGTCTGTCATTGCAGAATGTCCTCTCCACCTAAGTGAACATGCCAGGTTCCCGGTTACCCCTGACTCCCAGATACCTGGAAGAAGGTCAGGCGGGCCAGCAGGTCAGCCACGTAGCCCCCCAGAGGCTTCAGTGATGGGTAAGACTTGGCTGCCCACATGGCTGGCACTTTACCCACAAGCATGCTGTTAAAGACTTCCTCTAGCTCCGAGGACATCAGGACCTGTCCTTTGATGGCTTGGCGAAGATTGATGAGGCTCTTCCGAACCACTTTGGTCAGCCTGCAAGAACAGAGGAGCTGGCTAAGTTGGACTCTCCAGTGGCCACATTCTACCCGAGTCCACTGACTCCTGTCTCCTCATACTTATCCCCCCTTTAAAACGTCAGTTAATTAATGCACAGTCATTAATTGAGAAAAAATTAAATCACCCATCACCTTGCTACCTAAAGATAACGTTGATGTATATCTTTCCAGATTTTTCTCTATGTAAACACAAATTATTTTTAATGAGATCATACTATATTATATTTCTGCAATCTGTTTTTCTTTCTTAGCATATAGGAAACATCTTTCCAATTCAATAAATAGAGACCTAAATTGTCCTTTTTTCTTTCTTTTTTTTTTTTTTTAGAGATGGGGTTTCCACTCTGTCATCCAGGCTGAAGTGCAGTAGTGCAGTCATAGCTCACTGCAGCCTTGAACTCCTGGGCTCAAGTGATCCTCCTGCCTCAGCCTCTGGAGTAGCTGGGACTACAGGTGTGCATCACCATGCCTGCCCTTTTTAATGACTGCAAAGTGTTCCATTTTGTTTAACTATTCCTCTATTGTTGACGTGTTATTTCTAGATTGTTGTCACTATCAACAACATTGCTAGCAAAATTCATCCATCTCAATCTTTTTGCAAATTTTAAATTATTACTAAAAATATTTCTAGGTCAGAGAGCATGCACAGTTTCAAGGCTTTCGATTCCTATTGTCAAAGTTGTTCTTTTTTTTTTTTTTTTTGAGACAGAGTCTTGCCCTGTCACCCAGGGGAGTGCAGTGGTGCAGTCATGGCTCACTGCAGCCTCGATCTCCCAGGCTCAAGGAATCCTCCCACCTTGAGTCTCCTGAGTAGCTGGGACTACAGGCACATGCCACCATGCCTACCTGATTTTTTTTTTAAGTAGACACAAGGTCTCCCTATGTTGCCCAAGCTGGTCTCAAACTCCTAAACTCAAGTAATCCTCCCATCTCAGCCTCCCAAAGTGCTGGGATTACAGATGAGCTACCACGCCTGGCCCAAGGCCCTTTTTTATCAACTATAAGGTGCACGCCTGACAAAAGGCAACTGAAGGGCAGCCTGGGAGATGTCAAATTCACCTGCCTCTCCCTCTGACCTCTATGTTACAAGGCCCAGCCAAGCCTGGAGGGAATTCACCTGAGGAGTCCAAAGAGTTATGGAATCTCAACGGAATGGACATGAGAATGACACATGCAGGAAAAGGATTTCTGGATGTGTAACCACCAAACCATTGTATCAAGAGGAATGTGGTTGGGTGCGGGGGCTCACGCCTGTAATCCCAGCACTTTGGGAGGCCAAGGTGGGTAGATCACTTGAGGTCAGGAGTTTGAGACCGACCTGACCAACATGGTGAAACCCCATCTCTACTAAAAATACAAAATTAGCTGAGCGTGGTGGCGCACCACCTGTAATTCCAGCTACTCGGGAGGCTGAGGCAGGAGAATCACTTGAACCCAGAAGGTGGAGGCTGCAGTGAGCTGAGCTGAGATTGTGCCATTGCACTCCATCCTGGGTGACAAGAGCGAAACTCTGTCTCAGAAACAAACAAACAAAAAAAGGAATGTAAAATTCAGACATGTGTTAGATAAGCAGTCAAGGGTGAAAGCTACCATCTGAGGGATTACACCACAGACCTCTATTATACCTAAAGACCTATTTGCAAAGATTCTCTATTCTTGCAACTATGAGCTCTGCTAATTTTAAGGTTTTAGTACCCAAGGAAAGAACACTTGCCCAGAAGACACAGTCACAGTTCCCCTGAATTGAAAGCTGAACTGTCGCTGAATCATTCTGGGCTTCCTATACCACTGGGTGAAAAGGCAGAAAAAAAAAGAAAGAAAAAAAAAGATAGTGGGGAGATGATTAATCCTGACCATCGTTGGAAAATAAGATTGGTTTCCCTTTTTGTTTTCTTTTGAGACAGCATCTCACTCTATTGCCCAGGCTGGAGTGCAGTGGTGCAATCTTGGCTCACTGAAACCTCCACCTCCCAGGCCCAAGCAATCCTCCCTCCTCAGTCTCCTGAGTAGCTGGTTCTACAATGCCCAGATAATTTTTTATATTTTTGGTAGAGACGGGAGTTTTGCCATGTTGCCCAAGCTGGTCTCCAACTCCTGAGCAATCTGCCCCCCTCAGCCTCCTAAAGTGCTGGGATTACACTGCTGGGTGGCCTGAGCCACCGCGCCTGGCTTGCTCTCCTTTGTAGAATGCCCAGTGGTAAAGGCCAGTGAAAGCCCCTGCAACCACCAACAAAGAGCTCCAGTGGCCTTAGAGGAGAATGACAGCAAAGGAGGGAAGCCGTTAGTTTTGGTGTCCAGTTGGACAGTCCAGGACTACAGCCCATCATGCCAAGGTGTCTGACTCACAACAGAGGTGGCCTCGTCCTAGGCTCACACCCCATACCTTGCTTGGTCCCTGCTACGGCCAACTGCCTGTTGACTCTAAAGAGTAACCCTAGGCCAGGCGCAGTGGCTCATGCCTGTAATCCCAGCACTTTGGGAGGCTGAGGTGGGCGTATCACCTGACATCAGGAGTTCGAGACCAGCCTGGCCAACATGGCGAAACCCCATCTCTACTAAAAGTACAGAAATATAGCCGGGCATGGTGGCATGTGCCTGTAATCCCAGCTACTCCGGAGGCTGAGGCAGGAGAATCTCTTGAACCTGGGAGGTGGAGGTTGCAGTGAGCCGAGATCGCGCCACTGCGCTCCAGTCTGCGACAAGAGCGAGACTCTGTCTCAAAAAAAAAAAAAGAGTAACCCTAAAACTCAGGAAGTCAAGCCACTCTCAAATAACATTCCTCCAGTACCCTAGTCCTCTGGAATTAGGGCTGTCCTTAAAACGGAGCAATGACCCAATGAGACAGAATAGAGGCAGTAACACATGGCGTGTCTGGAGCAAGACCTTGCTCTTGGAAGCAGAAGTGATAAGTTTTAACCCACTTGGCTCTGAGTCACTTGAGACCTACATTAAATCACAGTCATCTCTGGACCTCAGTTTCCTCATCTGGCCTAGATGGTCTTTGGTAACCCTTTCAGTTTTGACTATTTAGAAATCAAATCCAGGTGATCCCACTGGGCTCCATGCTGTAATAACTGGAGGAGAAGAGGACTAGAATACGTGGCCAGAGATCCTGGCCCCATGGCCAGCCTATAACACCCCTAACTGTGTGGTAGAGGCACTGGGATGAGCATCTACCACCCCTTTCTAGATTTACCCAAATTTCACATATTGGCCAAGTACGTGGGCTCTGGAATCAGACTTAGTTCTGGGTTTAAACTGAGTTTTCCCATTGAATTACTGAATACTGAGCAACCTTGGGCAAGTCTTAACCCTTCTGAATCTCAGGGTTGTTTTTTTTTGTTTTGTTTTCTTTAAGAGATGGGGTCTTGCCATATTGCCCAGGCTGGTCTTAAACCCCTGGGCTCAAGCAATCCTCCCGGCTTGCCTCCCAAAGTGCTGGGATTATAGGCGTGAGTGATCACGCTCTGCCTCAGTTTTCTTATTTGTAAAATGCTGGTAGCAGGATTAATAACTGGACATATTTCAAAAGACTAGTGTGTTTGTGTGTGTGTGTGTGTTTTAAGGGATAGGGTCTTTCTCTGTCACCCAGGCTGGAGTGCAAGTGGTAAGATCATAGCTCACTGCCACCTTGAGCTCCTGGCCTCCAAGAGATCTTCCCACCTCACTCTCCCAAGTAGCTGGGACTGTAGCCGTGCACCACCATGCCTGCCATTTTTTTTTTTTTTTTTTTTTTTGAGAGATGGGGTCTTTCTTTGTTGCCCAGGCTAATCTTGGACTCCTGGCCTCAGGTGATCCTCCCTACTCTGCTTCCCAAAGTGCTGTAATTACGGGCATTAGCCATTGTGCCCAGCCCTGTTGCATACTTTGAATAAGACCCATGCATAGTGTTTAGAACCATATCTGTCACTAAAGGCTCAACACAAATGGCTCCAGGCCAGGTGCAGTGGCTCCCACCTGTAATCCCAGCACTTTAGGAGGCCACGGCTGGAGGCTTACTTGAGGCCAGGAGTTCGAGACCAGCCTGGCCAACATGTCAAAACTCCATCTCTATAAAAAATAAAAAATAAAAAAATTAGCCGGGTATGGCGGCCTGTGTCTGTAGACTCAGCTACTCAGGAGGCTGAGGTGGGAGGATTGCTTGAGCCCAGGAGTTCGAGGCTGCAATGAGTCGTGATCATACCACTGCACTCCAACTTGGGCGACAGAGAGACCTCAACGCAGGAAAGAGAAAGAAAAGTGGCTCTCATGACCACTTTTACTATTAGCCTGTGCTTGATACTTGCCTTTGCCTAACTTTATAGATGTCAGATGAATGAATGGGAATGAATGAATAGAAGGAATGATTCAACCCAGGGTCAGCATGTGCTGGGGATGGCCCTGTTCACAGGCCCTATTCACACCCCTAATACGGGTGAGGCAAACCACTTCCTCTGCATAGCAACCCCTTCTCAGCTACTGCCTGTTAGATCCTACTCGTCACGTTCCAACTCCCAGGATTCAAGCTACATCATCCGGCCCACCTGTTGAATCTGATGAGCTCCTGCCTTAGGACGGTGTTCATGGATTCCTCATAGACCACGGGGTACAACTTCATGACCTCTTCCAGGTCGAAGTCTTTGGGAAGCTTGGAGAGAATGTCTTGCGCCAACTCCTCAACCACTTCCTTAAAGTGCAGGCAGAAGAGAGGTGAGTGAGAAGCAAGCCCTACAGGCTGTGGCTTTGGATACACTTGAAGTACTGAGCATCTGGCTTTTCAAATGTATTCTGTGGGACTTTCCTGAGAACTCTCCAGCCGAAGCCATTTCTGCCCCCGGTGGGGAAAGGAGTCCCGCATCACCCCAGCAGCCTTGGAGAGGACCTCGCCTCTTGGCCCAGAAGAGTAGAGTCCTGTCCTTGGCAGGGCACGGTGGCTCACGTCTGTGATCCCAGCACTTTAGGAGGCCGAAGTGGGTGGATCGCTTGAGTCCAGGACTTTGAGACCAGCCTGGGCAACATAGCAAAAGCCAGTCTCTACAAAAAATACAAAAATTAGCTGTGCGTGGTGCTGCATGCCTGTGGTCCCAGCTATTTGGGACGCTGAAGCAGGAGAATCACTTGAACCCAGGAGGCAGATGTTGCAGTGAGCTGAGATCTGGCTGCTGCACTCCAGCCTGGGTGACAGAGGGGGACCTTGTCTAAAAGTGGAAAAAAAAAAAAAAGAGTCCTGTCCTGACACCTCAGGCAAGAGCCGAAGGGCCAGGTAGCTTCCGGGCAGCACCGAGCTTCTGTCTTCAATGTCACACCAGGGTGAGAATCTCCCACAGCCTCAGGCCCCTGAGGATTAGCTCCTGATGCTATGGGACCTTTTCTCAGTGCCCACAACACCTGGGAAGGCAGCAGGCCATTCTTCAGCATTGAGCAAGAAAAGCACAGAACGCTGAGCTTAGCCAAGTAGGGAGGGGAAAGGCCTGGAGGCTCAAGGAGGAACAAGACCCGGGTGTGGGAGAGACAGACACCCTGCGGTCCTGTGGATGAGGGAGGCTGGGATGTGCACTTCTTTCCCTCTTCCCACTGTGAGGGGAATTTCCACTCCTACGTCGGGACACACCAACCAGGCTGGTGTACCTTCATACCAGTGATACTTAATGGCACTAGGAACCAAATCATGAAAGCAAATTAGCAAGTTCTACAGTTGGGAGGGGTTGAACAGGAGGAGGTAGTTTGGAAGGTGGAGAAAGAAAGGGATGGGAGAGGAAGCAGGTGGAGTCAGGAGATGGTGGCTCCGGCTCTGGCTGTGTCCTTGATTTTATGAAGGCCTGGAAGCCGCTCACTTGCTCTCTCAGGATTTGTTTCTCTCTCTGTTTGCAGACTAAGGAAGGTGGTCTGGGTCAGTGAATCACAAAGAGTAGACTGGGACTACTAGATGTACCCAGGATTTTAGGTTGTTTCCAGGACACAGAAAAATCATGTTGAGTCACGTGGTGAGAAAGGTACTCTTTCAGGTTTTGGAGTTCTCTTCATTGTTGTTGTTATTGTTTTGAGATAGTGTCTCACTCTGTCATCCAGGTGGGAGTGCAAAGGCACGATCACAGCTCACGGCAGTCTTGACCTCCTGAGCTCAAGTGATCCTTCCGCCTCAGCCCCCTTAGTAGCTGGGACTACAGGCATGCCCCACCACACCCAGTTAACTTTTTTTTTTTTTTGAGACGGAGTCTCGCTCTGTCGCCCAGGCTGGAGTGTGGTGGCGCGATCTCAGCTCACTGCAAGCTCTGCCTCCCAGGTTCACACCATTCTCCTGCCTCAGCCTCCCGAGTAGCTGGGACTACAGGCGCCCGCCACCACGCCCAGCTAATTTTTTGTATTTTTAGTAGAGACGGGGTTTCACCATGTTAGCCAGGATGTTCTCGATCTCCTGACCTTGTGATCCGCCCACCTCAGCCTCCCAAAGTGCTGAGATTACAGGCATGAGCCACCGCGCCTGGCCCCAGTTAACTTTTTTTAAGACAGGGTCTCTCACTGTCACCCAGGCTGGAGTGCAGTGGTGCAAGCTCATCTCACTGCAGCCTCCACAGCCTGGAATCAAGTCATCCTCCCACCTCAGCTTCCTGAGTAGCGGGGATTACAGGTGCACGCCACCGAGCTCGGCTAATTTTTTTTTTGACGGTCGGTGTTTTGCCATGTTGCTCAGGCTGGTCTCAAACTCCTTGGCTCAAGCAATCCACCTGCCTCGGCCTCCCAAAGTGCTAGGGTTACAGGATGAGCCATGGTGCCCAGCCCTTGGTTAACTGAAAAAAACTTTTTTTTTTTTGTAGAGATATGGTCTCCCTATGTTGCCCAGGCTGGCTTCGAACTCCGGGCCTCAAGTGATCTCCTGCTTCAGCCTCCCAAAGTGCTGGGACCACTGGTGTGGTGTGATCCACCACACCTGGCCTCTTGTCAAGTTCTGACCATCTTTCTCTTTTCATTCCTTTCAAAAATAAAGTTTCGGGTCAGTGCCAATTCTTAGACACTCACACATCATTCTCCTTTTAACAAGAAGCCAGCAAAGCCTCAGCTCAGGGGCTTTGGCCAGCAACATTATCCGGGAAGAACTTAACAACTGTTCAGGCTGGGAGCGGTGGCTCATGCCTGTAATCCCAGCGCTTTGGGAAGCCAACATGAACAGATTGCTTGAGCCCAGGAGTTTGAGACGATCCTGGACAATATGGTGAAACACTGCCTCTACAAAAAATACAAAAAAATTTAGCTGGGCATGGTGGCATGTGCTTGTAGTCCCAGCTACTCAGGAGGCTCAGGCAGGAGAATTGCTTGAGCCTGGGAGACCAGGTTGCAGTGAGACAAGATCACACCACTGCACTCCAGCCTAGGTGACCGAGCCAGACTGTGTCTCAAAAAAAAAAAAAAAAAAAATTAAAAAGAAAAGAAAAACAACAACAACAAACAGAAACCAAAAAACACCAACTGTTCAGCTTTCATTTTCTTTTTATGCCTATCATGACTTTATGGAAATGATACTGGGTTTCTACTTATGGTTCTGATGTGCAATCTTTTAAATTAAAAAAAAAAAAAAGAAGAGAGTTAGTTTTAAAACATTATGTAGAAAAAAAAAGCAAAAGAAAAAGAAAAAAAGCAAAAAACCCATTATGTAAATGGAGTATAGGTGATAGGTGGATATAGCAGAAAACGTAAAGGTTATACAGGAATAGCTGACATTCTGGACATGCTGGTTCCCTTGCAGCTCTGGATATAACGACTCCTGGCAGTAAGGCCACCGTGCCCCTTGCCACTGGCCAGGAGGCTGCCAGGCCCCCGCTCTCTGCCTTCTTGGTCATCCTCCAATCCTGTGTGCCCACTGGATGGAGAACTGCCTGGGAAATAGGATTGAGCCCCCTTTCCCCAGCCCAGTTACCTGAGGGGACTTGCCACTTCCTCCTGACTGTCTAGGGAGGGTCAGCAGGACCCCCTCAAACAGCTGGTTGGTTTCCTGGTTGTCTTTGGTGATGTCTGCATTCTCATGGAGGCCAAACACTTCTGGGTGGGCTGTGATGGGGAGGCTCCTGAGATAGTCGATATAGGACTGGAAGGGAAATCTTCAGTTGAAATAAACGAGGGACCCCAGAATCCCACAGATGACTCCAAGCTTAGCAGAACCCAATCAGAACAGGAATCACACTGCATCAGTAGCACAGGACACACACACACACATACACACACACACACACACACACACACACACAGAGGCTGGGTGAACACATCCCTAGCCCTCCCTCATACAGTTTTCTGGGCAGTGTGCATGAAAGCAGATGGGGCTGAATTATCTCTCAGCCCACCCTGGCTTCCTCTCTGCTCCCCCAGTGGGCCTGGCTTTGGACCCAGACAGAACTGAGTTTAGATCCTAGCTCTATCCCAAACTGTCAGAGGCATTCGAATCACAGCGACTCCATCTTGTATAGGAGCTGAGTAAAATAAGGCTGAGACCTACTGGGCTGCATTGTTAGGAGCTGAAGGCATTCTAAGTCACAGGATGAGATAGGAGTCAGCACGAGATACAGGTCACAAAGACCTTGCTGATAAAACAGGTTGTGGTAAAGAAGCCAGTCAAATACCCCCAAACCAAGATGGCCACGGAAGTGACCTCTACACACACTCATTATAATATATTAGCATGCTATGAGACACTCCCACCAGCGCCATGACTGTTTACAGATGTCATGACAACGCCAGGAAGTTGCCCTATATGGTCTAGAAAGGGGAGGAATCCTCACTTCTAGGAATTGTCCACCCCTTTCCCGGAAAACTTATAAATAATACACCCCTTGTTTAGCATATAATCAAGAAATAACTGTAAGTATAAACAGTTGAGCAGCAACCCATGCCATTGCTCTGTCTATGAAGCAGCCATTCTTTATTCCTTTACTTCCTTTTTTTTTTTTTTGAGACAGAATCTTGCTATCTCCCAGGCTGGAGTGTAGTGGCACTATCTTGGCTCACTGTAACCTCCGCCTCCCGGGTTCAAGCAATTCGACTGCCTCAGCCTGGGATTACAGGCGCATGCCACCACACCCAGCTAATTTTTTGTATTTTTAGTAGAGACGGGGTTTCATGTGTTAGCGGGGATGGTCTTGATCTCCTGACCTGGTGATCCGCCCTCCTTGGCCTCCCAACATGCTGGGATTATAGGCGTGAGCCACTGTGCCTGGCCTCCTTTACTTTCTTAATAAACTTGCTTTCGTTTTAGTCTATAGACTTGCCCCAAACTCCTTCTTGTGCAAGATCCAAGAACCATCCCTTTGGGTCTGGATCTGGACCCCCTTCCAATAACAAAACTAGGTACCCTTGAGTTTGTCATCTGAAACCCCAGTTTCCTTATCCGTAAATGGAAAAACAAGTGTAGTCATGAAGTATAAACCAAAAGTAAAATCCTAAGACCCTCCACTCTAAAATTTAACCTGAAAGCCTGGTTCCGGCCATGAGGGGAAGTGGGGGTCAGACATGCCTCATTATACCCCTGCAGCATTACCATCAACATACAGACCCTAAGTCTGATGAGAAACATTTACAATCTAGTCTCTCTGAAGCCTGCTACCTGGAGGTTTCATCTGCATGATAAAACTTGGGTCTCCACAACCTCTTATCATAACCCAGGCATTCCTTTCTATTGATAATAACTCTTTCAACCAACTGCCAAACAGAAAATGTTTAAATCTACCTATCACCTGCTAGCCTCCACTTTGAGTTGTCCTGCCTTTCTGGACTGAACCAATGGATATCTTAAATGTATTTGATTGATGCCTCACGTGCTCCCTAAAATGTATAAAATCAAGCTGCGCCCCGACCACCTGGAGCACATGTTCTCAGGATCTCCTGAGGGCTGTGTCACAGTCCATGGCCACTCATATTTGGCTCAGAATAAATCTCTTCAAATATTTTACAAAGTAAGAAAGAGACTCTTTTCATCCACAGAAGGAATCAGGCCTTGGCATGTGACAGGTTGTGGTGTTATATATATATCTACTGGTTTTCATCCATGGTTCCTGGCTTCTAACTCCCCTAGCCCTTGTTACAGTCACCTGTTATAATGTTGGGTGTGTTAGGCCTTAGGGGCAGGCCGCAGGAAACAGAATCTCTCTGACCTTCTCTTGCCCTCCTTTTACCTGCCCCCAAGCAAGACTCAAATCTTCCCCTATCTTTCTGATTGTGAGTCTTTTTTTTTGTTTGTTTTAGACAGGGTCACTCTGTGGCCCAGGCTGGAGTGCAGTGGTGGGATCTTGGTTCACTGCAACCTCTGCCACCTGGGCTCAAGTGATCTTCCCACCTCAGCCTCCTGAGTAATTGGGACTACAAGTGCACGCCATCACACCCGGCTAATTTTTGTATTTTTAGTAGAGACGGAATTGCACCACATTGACCAGGCTGATCTCAAACTCCTGACCTCAAGCCATCCACCAGCTTCAGCCTTCCAAAGTGCTGGGATTACAGGCATGAGCCACTGCGCCTGGCCTGATTGTGAGTCTTAAGACTCCACCTAGAGAGAGAGGGTCCTGCCCTATACTCGGGGATGTCATGCAACTTCCATAAAAACCCAAGCGGACTGGGTGCAGGGAGCTTCTGGAGAGCTGACCACATGGAGGTTCCTGGAGGGTATTTCACCCAGGGAGGGCATGGCAGTTCCCACTCCTTCCGCCATACTTCACCCTATGCATCTCTTCATCTGTATCTTTTGTAATATTCCTTTAATAAATTGATAAACCGAAGTGTTTCTCTGAGTTCTGTGAGCCGCTCCAGCAAATTAATTGAATTAATTTCAATTAAAGGGGGAGCGGTGGGAACCCCAACGTGAAGCTGGTTGGTCAGTTCTTGAGGCCGGGACTTGTGACTGGTGTCTGGGGTGGGGGAAAGAACTGGGGACTGAGCCCTCAGCCCGTGGGATCTGACACTATCACCAGGTAGATGGTATTGGAATTGAATTAGAGGACACCCAGTGGGTGTCCACTGCTTAGTATGTGGGGAAGGGGGAACCTCCACACATTTGGTCACAGACGTCTTCTTCTGTGTTGATGGTGGTGGTGGTTGTGGTGCGAGAGTAGCGGAAAAATACGATTTGAGAGTTTTTCTGTTCCACAGGTGATCAATAAAAGTAAGCTCTTTTTTTTTTTTTTTTTTTGAGACAGTCTCACTTTGTCACTCAGGCTGGAGTGCAGTGGCATGGTCTCAGTTCACCACAACCTCCACCTCCCAGTTCAAGCAGTTCCCCTGCCTCAGCCTCCCCAAATAGCTGGGATTACAGGCAGGTGCCACCACACCTGGCTAATTTTTATATTTTTAGAAGAGACTGCATTTCACCATGTTGGTCAGGCTGGTCTCAAACTCCTGAGCTCAAGTGATCCACCCACCTCAGCCTCCCAATGTGCTGGGATTACAGGCATGAGCCACCGCGCCCAACCTGTAAACTCTTTTCTATCCCTCAGATTTATTGTTTTCATCTTCCTTTTCTCATTCCCTGTTCAGTTTTTCTGTTCCTCCCTTTTTGCCACCGTCTGAATGTTTGTCTTCAAGTAGCAATGTCCATCTTGCTCACTACCAAGGCTCAATCTTGATCATCTTTCTCTCTCCCTCCTCCACCCGGATGGATCCAATATTTTGAAACATCTTGTCTACCAAATACCAAGCCCTCCATAAACAGTAGCCATGTCTCTCTTGCAGGCTTTTGGGAATATTGGGAATAGCTTTTGGATTCAACTCAGGAAGCCCAAGGTGACCCCTGGGCTCCTTGGCTATGCTGCAGCCCTGTAGCCATATAGAGATGACGGAGCCCTGTGGGCTAAGAGGTGGGCCTCCCTGCCCGCCCCTTACCTGGTAGGAGCCATGAGGAGGGATGTAGTAAGTGTCTCCAGGAGCAAGGGAGTAATAGTCCTCCTCAATTTCCTTACAGTAGAACATGGACAGAAGTGACAGCAGGAGACGCCGGTCTTTGTCATCAGTCACTCTGCCTCCATAATTACATTCCCCTGGGGACAACCAACAGAAAGAGAGGTTGAGCCCAGGGAAGGTCATCATGAGCTTGGTGGTTAACATAAAACACGGCATTCTTCTGGCCAAAGATCTCTGCTGGGACACAGTGATAGGGACAGCAAGCAGGGAAATTCCGGGCAGAAGATGGCAGGTCCCCTGCAAGGGCCCCACCCTCAAGCTGAAAAGCCTGAAACTACGGCCCAAAGTGAGAACTTACATCCCTGTTTTCCCACTTGAATGTTGCCTTTTCTGAAACAACCCATGACCTGCCCCGCCCCCGCAATCCATGCCCATCAAAACCCCAGGCTCAGCCAGCAGAGAGAGAGAACCAGCTGGACATCAGAGAGAAGTGGCTTGACTTCAGGGGACCAGCTTGACAGTGTAACGTTGGAGAAGAATCTGGTTGGAGATGGCTGGACTCCATCCCCTTTTCAGCTCCCTTTCCCACTGAGAGCCATTTTCATCGGCAATAAAATCCCCCGCATTTACCATCTTCAATTCATTTGTGCGACCTCATTCCTCCTGGACACCTCTTGGACAAGAGCTCGGGTGCCATGAGTGCAGGTGCAAAAGGCTGTCACACTGACCCGCCACTGGGCGGTTAACATTTAAGCTGTTTGTGGACGGCAGAGCTAAAAGAGTACTGTAACCTTTCCTCTGGGTGACAGAGGGAGACTCTGTCTCAAAAAAAAAAAAGACATTTTGAGAGAGAGAGAGAGACCACATTCATATAACTTTTATTACAATATATTGTAATTGTTCTATTTTATTACTGTTGTTGTTAATCTCTCACTGTGCCTAATTTATAAATTAAACTTTTATCATAGGTATGTATGTATAGGATAAAACATAGTGTATATGGGGTGCAGTAAAATCCACAGTTTCAGACATCCACTGGGGGTCTTGGAACATATCCCTGATGGATAAAGGGGGACTAATGTATATGTTGAGATGGTGGCAGTAACAGTGGGTGGTGCCTTTGCTAACTGTGCCCCCGACAGAGAATTACAATGAGCAAAGACCCTTGCCAATTCATGCTGGAAATGTAGAGTGGGCAAGAAATGGATCTATGATGTCTTTTATACCCTTGAGGTTTGAGGATTGTTAGTGATCTCAGCCTAACTAGCCTATCCCGACTGGAACAGTTGGAAGGTGACTACTCTCAAGCTGGCTGGTTTATGACCAGCAGGCAGTTGGTTTATGGCTTGCAGGCAGTTCTCTACGCAGACCATATCCCAGGGCAATCATGCACTCATGCTATGGTCTGAAGAGGAACCCTAGGATGTGCTTCTGTGTGGCCTGGAACTGTGGGAATATGGCTCACTTCTATTTATTATTATTATTAGTATTAGAGTCGGGGATCTCACTGTTTTGCCTAGGCTGGTCTGGAATCCCTGGGTCCAAGTAATCCTTCGGCATCAGCCTCCTGAGTAGCTGGGACTACAGGTGCAAGTCACTGTGTCCAGCTCCAGGCGCACTTCTTTGGAGACGGTCTTTCACCAAATTGAGATCCACTGTGTGTGTGCTGTGTGTGTCATTTGGGGCTTTGTTCTAGGGAACACTATACGGAGTTAAGGTCAGTGTGACCTTCTGGCATGGAACTTAATCACTGTAAAGCCCAGTCTCTCCACCTTGGCACTCTTAACATGTTGGATCGGATAGTTCTGTGTTGTAGGGACCACCTTGTACATCGTAGACTGTTCAGAAGCATCCCTAGCCTCCACTACTATAACTGCCAGTAACACGCGCTATGATAACCAAAAGCATCTCCAGACATTGCCAAATAGCCACTGGGGGCCGAAATCACCCACGGTTAAGAACCACTCCTTTAAGCCTCTGTCTTCCCAGCTGTAAAATGGGGTTATTAACATGGAGCTCATAAGATTAACGTGAAGACTCAATGCATTAATCACAGGTATATAGTGCCGGCCACATGCCTGGGGAAGGAATTCTAACAAACTCCTTAACATATGAAGCTGAAGAGGAAATTGTGTGTGATCTTGATGCCCCAGTTTTTTAATTAAGCTGCATTTTGACCTTCAGCCATGATCTTCCATTCATTTAGCACACGTCTATATTTGCTCCTATCTCTGGGACTGTGCGGCATGTTCCTTGAAGTTAGTGGTCACGTTTTTTAGGTTGTGTATGTGTATGTTTTTTAACAGATGGGGTCTTGCTCTGTCACCCAGGCTGGAGTACAGTGGAGTGATCATAGCTCACTACAGCCTTGACCTCCTGTGCTCATGTGATCCTCCTGCCTCAGCCTCCTGATAACTGGGACTACACGTGCACAACACCACACCCAGCTCATTTTTATTTTATTTTTTTGTAGAGATGTTGCCTAGACTGGTCTCAGACTCCTGGGCTCAAGCAATCTTCCCACCTTGGCCTCCAAAAGTGCTGGGATTACAGATGTGACCCACCGCACAGAGCCTATGATCAAGTTTTATACATTTACATTCTTCCATATGATGTACATATCATGGACTAATAAAAGGTTGCCGATTGATTGCTTTAATACAAAACAGCTAGGGTCATTTCTACCTCAGGGTCACTCTGCTGCAAATGTTCTCCTTCCTCTATGTCCCACCCAGTTCATTCTTTTCCACTCATAAAATTCCTACTCACCCCGAAAACCCATCTCTTACGCCTTCAAGAAGTTTGCCATGATCATCTCCTCCTCCTACCCCAAGATTTAATCATTATGCTGCCCTTCTACTTTATAAATGTTTCTCTTGTTGAAGTTATTACTATGTTATCTTTTTTTTTCTTTTGAGACAGGATCTCACTTTGTCACCCAGGCTGGAGTGAGGTGGCACGATCAGAGCTCACTGCACCTCCACATCCTGGGCTCAAGCAATCCTCCCACCTTAGCCCCCTGAGTAGCTGGGACTACACGCATGTACCACCATGCCTGACTAATTTTTGTATTTTTTGTAGAGATGGGATTTTTCCCCGGCCAGTCTTAAACTCCTGGCCTCAAGCAATCCCTCCACCTTGGTCTCCCAAAGTACTGGGATTACAGGCATGTTCCACTGCTCCTGGCCTGTATTTTTTTATTATTATTATTTTTGAGATGGAGTCTCTCTCTGTCACCCAGGCTAGAGTGCAGTGGCACAATTTCAGTTCACTGCAACCTCCGCCTCCCCACTTCAAGCAATTCTCCTGTCTCAGCCTCCCAAGGAATAGTAGGACTACAGGCACGCACCACCATGCCCGGCTAATTTTTTTAATTTTTAGTAGACACGGGGTTTCTATATGTTGGTCAGGCTGGGCTCAAACTCCTGACCTCAGGTGATCCACCTGCTGTGGCCTTCCAAAGTGCTGAGATTACAGGCATGAGCCACTGTGCCCCGCCGGCCTGTATCATTTTTTAAAAATATTTTTCTTCTTTTGGAGACTGTGAGTCACTCAAGGGTAAAGATTCTATCTTAATTTTTTGTTTGTTTGTTTCCTTACAATATCTAGCATGATGACCAGCATTAGTAAGAGCTCGATGTTTATGGTGAGTGAGGGAGGGAGGGAGTAAATAAGTGAATGGAAATGGGAGCAGAACAGCAGGAGGGTGGAACATGATACTGGAGGTTTACAGTGGAAAAACCCCTCCCATAAATACCTGTCAGGTAGGTCAGAGCATCAAAGGGTACCTCCTTGTAGTCATTGAGAAACATCTGGATCTGCCACATACTAATCCTCAGGTCAGATTCATTGAATTCATAGGGAATATTCCACCCTGTGTGCGGGAGAGCAGAGAGAGGCTTCAGTGCTGAAAGCTCTTAATTTCCACTCAAAGACCAAGCCGAGGGAGTTAAGCATCATTATGGATCAAAAGCCTCTTTCAAGCCCATGAATATCAAGCACTGGGGCCAACTATTAGCCTGGACATTTACCGCCAACGTGGGAGCCATTCTGCCTGAGAAAACATCCATTCTAAAATCAATTTCCTTATGTACCTCCCCATTCGTTAAGGAAGATGTTAATGTCCTGGGATTTGTGGAATGAGAATTATTCAGCCTGGCAGGAATACGGCGGTAATGCATGGAGCTCCAAAAATAACACCGCGGCATGGCTAGACAGCAGGAGCTACGACTGGGCAACAGAGCCACGTTAGTTCTGAGAATTCCCCTCCTCGAGCTCCTGGGAAAACTGAATGGCCAACCTTAAAGAAATGATCACTCATATTTCCAAGGGTGTAATGATAAATGCCCATTGGGGGCTGAACAAGTGACATACATGTGTAAACCAGGCATGGTGCAGGATACAAGAAAGAGCATGGGGAAGCCTGTGCTCAATAGAGAAGTTTTTTGTTTGTTTGTTTTGCTTTTGTTTATTTGTTTGTTTGTTTTGAGACAGAGTCTCGCTCTGTCCCCCAAGCTGGAATGCAGTGTCGTGATCTCAGCTCACTGCAACCTCCGCCTCCTGGGTTCAAGAGATTCTCCTATCTTAGCCTCCTGAGTGGCTGGGATTACAGGCATGTGCCACCATGCCCAGCTAGTTTATGTATTTTTAGTAGAGACAGGGATTCGCCGTGTTGGCCAGGTTGGTCTTGAACTCCTGACCTCAAGTGATCCGCCTGCCTCAGCCTTCCAAGGTGCTGGGATTACAGGCGTGAACCACTGCACCCAGGCTCAATAGAGAAGTTTAATTTCCTCCCAAACACTCGCTTTCAAATTAGAAGTATAACAAAATAATAAAAGTCGTGTGCCAGCAAATGAAGCATGACTGGCAGTTAGTTGCAAGCCAAACGGTTGCATGGCTTTTTTTTTTTTAGAGGCAGGATCTCGTTCTGTTGCCCAGTCTGGAGTGGTATGATCTCCGTTCACTGTAGCCTGGAATTCCCAGGTTCAAGTGATCCTCCCACCTCAGCCTCCCAAGTAGCTGGGACTACACGAATGTGCTACTATGTCAGGCTAATTTAGTTATTTTAATTTATTTATTTATTTTTTTTTTTATTTTTTTTGAGACAGAGTCTCGCTCTGTCGCCCAGGCTGGAGTGCAGTGGCGCAATCAGCCTCCGCCTCCCAGGTTCAAGCGATTCTCCTGCCTCAGCCTCCCGAGTAGCTGGGATTACAGGCACCCGCCACCACGCCCAGCTAATTTTTCTATTTTTAGTAGAGACAGGGTTTCACCATGGTCTCGATCTCCTGACCTTGTGATCCGCCCGCCTTGGCCTTCCAAAGTGCTGGGATTACAGGCGTGAGCCACCGCGCCGGGCCTATTTATTTTTTTAATATTCAGGAGTTCTAGACCAGCCTGGCCAACACGGTGAAACCCCATCTCTACCAAAAATACAAAAATTAGCCGGGTGTGGTGGCATGCTTGTAGTTTCAGCTACTCAGGAGGCTGAAGTGGGAGGATCGCTTGAACCTGAGAGGTGGAGGCTGCAATGAGCCAAGATCACACCACTGCACTCCAGCCTGGGTGACAGAGCGAGACCCTGTCTCAAAAAAAAAAAAAAAAAAAGTCTATAGGTAGATTAATATGTAAGCAAAATGTTATATATTCATACAAAGGAATTTGTTGTTGTTGTTGTTGAGACAGGGTCTCGCTCTGTCACCCAGGCTGGAGTGCGATGGTGTGATATGGGCTCACGACAAACTCCACCTCCTAGTTGAAGCAATTCTCATGCCTCAGCTTCCCAAATAGCTGGGATTATAGGCGGGCACCACCACACCCGGCTAATTTTTGTGTTTTTACCATGGGGTTTTACCATGTTACCCAGGCTGGTCTCAAACTCCTGGCCTCAAGGGTTCTGCCTGCCTTGGCCTCCCTAAGTGCTGGGATTAAAGGCACAAGCCATCACGCCCAGCCAGGTTGTCAGATTTAGCAAATAAAAATACAGTGAGAGTTTAATCTTAAATAATAAATCATTTAGTATAAGTATGTTCCAAATATTGCCTGGAAAATACTTATACTGTATTTTACTGGCAACCCTATCTGAGCGCAAGCTTAAACATGCACCTGCCTGGAAACACACCTATATGTGTCTGGCATCCTTTCCCCCAGGCCACCCAGGTACACTATCATCGCTTACCTAGGGGGCCGAAGTTTCTCCTCTCTTGAACAATGGCGTGGAAGAAACAAAGGCCAAATAACATCTTTTGCCACATCACTGCCTTCGCACAGCTTTGGAAGAACACAGGATCTGAGATGGGGTCATTGAGGTAGGAGCGCAAAAGGTTGGCCCGGAGCCCTTTGGGGGGCTCATTGGTCATTTTGATTCCATTCTGGAGAATGCTCACTGGAAACTTCTCTGATGGATAGCTGGTTAGCCAGAGTCTGGAAGAACAATGGAGCCAACCTTTTAGAGCAATACAGTAAGTTATAGTGAAAAACAATAACAAAAACAAAACAATAACAGTAACGAAACAGTCCAGCCTGGGTAACATGGTAAAACCCCATCTCTACTAAAAACAATGTTTTATTTATAAATAAATAAACAAACAAAAAATAATAGCTATGATTTATTAAATACTACCAGAGCCAAAGCCATGCTAAGCATTTAACATACATCCTTTTATTTCCCTTAAGCCTCACAGTCACCTGATGAGGAGGGATTCACTACACCTTTTACCAGTGAGGAAACCGAGGCATGGCAAGGTCAGGTGGGTTTTTCAAGGACACGTCGCTTGGCAGTAGTTGAACCAAGATGTGAACAAACTCAGGATTCTCTGACTCCAAAGCTCCTACATTTTTTTTTTCTTTAATGTAGAGATGGAGTCCCTCTGTGTTGCCCAGGCTTGTCTCGAACTCCAGGGCTCAAGTGATCCTCCCACATCACCATCCCGAAGTGCTGGGATTACAGGTGTGAGTCCCTGTGCCCGACCCTAAGGCTGCTTTCTCTCTACAACGAGAGTTGAATAGTTGCAACAGAGACAATATGGCCACAAATCCTAAACTATTTACTATTGGCCCTTTACAGAAAACGTTTGTGGATGCCTGTCATATAGGAAATGGTATTTGAAATGGGCCTTGAAAAATAGGGAGAAATTCTTTTTTAAAATGCAAGTTTATCTATGCCCACAAAAAAATGGGAACATATGTAAAAGTGTTTAGAAGAAACCAGAATTGATCATTTTACCACCTATAGGTTAACATCTTGGCACACTGAATCTGAGGCTCTCTTTTAAAATTTTTATTTTTATTTTTATTTTATTTTTATTTTTATTTTTTTGAGACAAGGTCTCACTCTGTCACCTAGGCTGCAGTGCAGTGGTACATCTCGGCTCACTGCAACCTCCACCTCCCAGGTTCAAGTGATTCTCCTGCCTCAGCCTCCCTAGTAGCTGGGATCACAGACGCGCACCACCCCGCCTAGCTAGTTTTTGTATTTTTAGTAGAGACGGGTTTCAAAAAGTTGGCCAGGCTGGTCTCGAACTCCTGGCCTCATGTGATCCACCTGACTCAGCCTCCCAAAATGCTGGGATTACAGGCATGAAACACTGCTCCTGGCCAGTTCTTCTTCTTCTTCTTTTTTAATCTAATTTTATTTTTAAAGATATCTTGCTCTATTGCCCAGGCTGGTTTCAGGCTCCTGAGCTCAAGTGATCCTCCCACCTCAGCCTCCTGAGTAGCTGGGACTACAGATGCACACAACCACGCTAAGCTCCCAGACTTTTATTAATTTGTTTTTCCTACCCAAGGTCAAATTACATATACATCATGTCCTCTTGGTTTTCATTGGTTTACTAGACATTAGAGAGATTTGTAATAGGTAGGTTTGGGGTTGAAAGGTCATTAGAGACACAGGACACAGGCTGAGCCTCCCTGTGGAGGAGGGAGAGCTGATGATCTAGTCAGACTCGGTGGGCTTTGGGCTGTGGTCCAGGCACAGGGCTGGGAGGGGTAGAAGAGTAAACTGGGGGCCTAAGGCCTGACTTCAGTCTGCAGATGGGTGATATTTTTGGCTCATGTCATTTGAACCCATACAATGCTGTGACATATTTTTGAAGTAGTTGATACTTTTTTTTTTTTTTTTTTTTTGAGATGGAGTCTCACTCTGTCGCCCAAGCTGGAATGCAGTGGTGCAATATCAGTTCACTGCAACTTCCACCTCCTGGGTTCAAGGGATTCTTGTGCCTCAGCCTCCCAAGTAGCTGGGATTACAGACATGCACACCACACCTGGCTAATTTTTGTATTTTTAGTAAAGACGGGGTTTCACCATGTTGCCAGGCTGGTCTTGAATTCCTGGCCTCATGTGATCCACCTGCCTCGGCCTCCCAGAGTGCTGGGATTATAGGTGTGAGCCACCTCGCTTGGCGCCAAACAGCATTCTTGAAACTAATGGACTTCTCTTAAACTCTCTCTCTTTTGGAAGTTTTATATGAAGACAAATCAACTGTGGCTAATCTGACTTTGTAAATAAGCACCAAACACTTTGCCTCTTTTCCGGCAGACAACTAAGATGAAAATAACCAGCTAGCTTTATTGGACAGAGCAGGGGTTGACACATTTTTCCTGTAAAGGACCAAATAGTAAGTATTTTAGACTTTGTGAGCCCATATGATCTCTGCTGCAACTACTTGCCATACGGAAGTAGCCATAGACAATATATGAATAAGCATGGATGTTTTTCAATAAAACTTTATTTATGGACACTAAAATTTGAATTTCATAGAAGTTTCATATATTATGAAACATGATTCTTTAGGTTTTTTTCCACACTGTTTAGTTAGCTTGCAAGCTATACAAAAACAACTGGCAGCAGGGTGCATTTGGCCATCGGGCCTTAGGTTGCTGCTCTCTGGCCTGGTATAAGAGAATCCCTGGTCCGGGTGTGGTGGCTCACGCCTGTAATCCCAGTACTTTGGGAGGCTGAGGTGGGCGGATCACCTGAGATTGGGAGTTCAAGACCAGCCTAACCAACATGGAGAAACTCCATCTCTACTAAAATTACAAAATTAACTATGTGTGCTGGGACATGCCTGTAGTCCCATCTACTCAGGAGGCTGAGGCAGGAGAATCGCTTGAACCCAGGAGGCGGAGGTTGCCGTGAGTGGAGATCGTGCCACTGCACTCCAGCCTGGGCAACAAGAGCGAAACTCTGTCTCAAAAAAAACCAAAAAAACCCAAAAAAACAGAATCCCTGAACATTTGAGTTAAAATGGACTTTAAAGTCTGTTTGGTTCATCTTATTATTCTATGAATGCAAAAACTGAGGCTTAGCTTTGCTGGGCTTTAACAAAAAACAAATAGCTGTTGCCAATGTTGATTAAAATTCCAAAGAACCCCAGAAATGTAGGATAGAGGTAGGCAGGTGGCAGGAGGCCGGACAAATGATACCTGGAAAATGGTAGAATTTTTTTTTTTAATTTTAAACAGGGTCTCACTCTGTGGCCCAGGCTGGAGTGCAGTGGTGTGATCACTGCTCACTGCAGCCACGACTTCTCGGGCTCAGGTGATTCTCCCAGTTCAGCCTCCCAAGTTGCTGGGACTACAAATGTGCGCCACCACGCCCCGCTTATTTTTTGTATTTTTAGTAGAGATGGGGTTTTGCCATGTTGCCCAAGCTGACCTTGAACTCCTGGGTTCAAGCAATCCACCTATCTCAGCCTCTCAAACTGCTGATATTACAAGCGTGAGCCACCATGCCTGGACAGGATTTTTTTTAGACAAATAATAATTTTTAAAAATCAGACTTGCTCACAATCTACCTTTCCAGCTACATTTCCTATTAAGTTCTCCAACAACTTCTCATGGCATATACGAGTTGTAAGACAACTTCTCAGTATTTCCTTAATACCTCTCTTTGCTTTTCCAAATGCTGTCTCTTCTGCCTAGAATATCCTTCCTGGCAAACGCCTATTCATTTTTCAAAATCCCAGGCCATTGTCAGGCCTCCAGGACTTCCCCAACCTTCCCATCCCTTTTCTATATTCCATGGCTCTTCTTCAAATAGTGAGTAAATCAGATATGACATGGTATCAACATTATTCATCTATGGGCTGCCTTCTGCTAGACTGAAGAGCTTCTTTCTTTCTTTTTTTCTTTTTTTGAGAGGAAGTCTCACTCTGTCGCCCAGGCTGGAGTGCAGTGATATGATCTCTGCTCACTACAACCTCTGCCTCCTGGGTTCAAGCAATTCTCCCACCTCAGCCTCCCTAGTAGCTGAGATTACAGGTATACACCATTACGCCCTGCTAATTTTTGTATTTTTAGTAGAGACAGCATTTTGCCATGTTGGCCAGCCTAGTCTCGAATTCCTGACCTCAGGGGATCCACCCGCCTCAGCTTCCCAAAGTGCTGGGATTACAGGCATGAGCCACCCTGCCCGGCCTAGACTGAGAGTTTCTAAGGGGCAGGACTGTGTCTTGATCATCTTCCCAGCCACCAGCCTGATGTCTGGAGGTTGGGTCCCAGAGAAGGCAGTGGTGGGACAGCATCTCACCTGAATCTGGCATTGGTGCTCTCAGGTACAATCACCTCCTCACAAATCTTCTCCAGTGTAGGCATCCAGCTTGTGGCCAGATGGCAGTTCTGTAAGACCACCCAGGTCCCGTCTTTGACGGCATTGTTGATCATTCTGGCAGCAATAGGGCCTTGGCCTTGGCCAAGGGAGATGGTCTGTGTTCTGGTACCTCCCATACCAAGGTCGTCAGCAAACTTCAGCAGGCCTGAGACCAGGAAGAAAGGAGGCTTTTGAAAGATGACAGGCTAGCTAAGAGTAACAGAATAGCCACATCAACAATAAACATGGCTCGGTGTGGTGGCTCACACCTGTAATCCCAACACTTTGGGAGGCCGAGGTGGGAGGATCACTTGAGCTCAGGAGTTGGAGACCAGCCTGGGCAACACAGTGAGACTCTGTCTCTATTTAAACACACACACACACATACACACACGCGCGCGCACCAATACCAACACAAAAGGTGGGGTTCACATTAAAATTTTGGACTCAGAAAAAAACTCATTGGCTTCTGTTAATTACAAAATAAACATCTCTCTGGGGAAGCTCAAGACATCAGGTCAGATGGCAGATGAAGCTACAACCAACTTCTCTTTTGCTTTAAACACATAGACATTCTTGATTAAAAAAAAGGAATTATCTGAACTGAAAAGAAAAAAAAATCAAGGCTTGAAAGAAAGGGATATTCCCAGGTGCCAAAAATGGGGAACTCAAAAATAAAGAGGTGAGCACATAATCAAATAACTAGGAAACTGATTTTTGCAAATTTATTTTAACGAGAAATATAAGCATTTGTAAAGTGAAATAAGTAAGTCTCTCACTTCTCTCTTCCCAGTGGTAGCCAGTGTTACTAGATTTGTAAATCCTTTCAGAAATATTTTATGTATTTAAATAAATGCATATATATGATTAAATTTATACGAATTGTAGAATACTGCATTTTTTCCCACTTAACAATGTACGTATCTTATAGGTCTCTTCCACATTAGTACATGTATTAAGGCTTTTTTCTTTCATGGATACATAGTATATCACCATTGGAAAATACCACACTTTATTTCATTACTCTAGATGTTAAAGTTTTAATGTCCATGGGAGATACAGCTTTGCACTCATAAGAGGTGGGGAGCTGGAACTGAGACATTTGCATAAAGTTAGGATTCTCAAAATGCCATACCTTCATGTTATGAAGATCAGACATTTGGCCAGATGCGGTGGCTCACGCCTGTAATCCCAGCACTTTGGGAGGCCGAGATGAGAGGATCACTTGAGGTTAGGAATTCGAGACAAGCATGGCCAACATGGTGAAACCCTATCTCTACTAAAAATACAAATATTAGCTGGGTTTGGTGGCGCACGCCTGTAGTATGAGCTACCTGGGAGGCTGAAGCAGGAAAATTGCTTGAACCCGGGGAGAGGCGGAGGTTGCAGTGAGCTGAGATCGTGCCACTGCACTCTAGTCTGGGCTACAGAGTGAGACTCTGTCTCAAACAAAAAAAAAAAAAAAAAAAAAGAAGGCCATTTGACTACTGACCCAAGGAAAAGACATGGAAGCTCATAACTGGTCTGGAGCCTGGATAAAAAAAACAAACAACTCTCCAGTGAAAAATCAAAACACTGTTTATGCCACATGAATTTGAGGAGTGTGAGTTCACAGTACTCTCTGGTGTGGGATTCCTAAGCTGAGAGATTTCCCATAAAATTTGATTCAGAATGGCGACCCCCACTTCGCCCCCTGGGGTACCACTGTTTGCACAGGCAAAGTTGTTCTGTGGGGACACCCCTAAAACCCAAAGTATATGAGACTCCTGCAAAACAACACAAATCTGCTGATGGTGAACTCACAATAAAAAAAAATACATGAGGAAGTACATCACCATGAGGGGCAGGCAGCACATAAAAAAAATCAGGGTTAATATTCTAAGGATTACATATGGTCTCTGTTATGAGCTGCATCGTGTCCCTAGCAAAATTCATACGTTGAAGTCCTAATTTCAGGTACCTCAGAATGTAACTGTTCAGTAGCTGGAGATAGGGTCTTTGCAGAGGCAAAGTTAAAATGAGTTCATTAGAATGGGTCTTAATCCAATATGACTGATATCCTTATGAGAAGAGGAGATGAGGACAGACACAGAGAGAAGGCCCTGTGCAGACATAGGGAGAAGATGACCATCAGCAAGCCAAGCAGAGAGGCCTCAGAAGAAACCATCCCTGCCAAAAGCTTGATTTCAAACTTCTTTCTCTGAGAATTGTGAGAAAATAAATTGCTGTTTGTTTGTTTTTTGAGATGGGGTTTCGCTCTTGTTGCCCAGGCTGGAGTGCAATGGCGCAATCTTGGCTCACCACAACCTCCACCTCCCAGATTCAAGCGATTCTCCTGCCTCTGTCTCCCGAGTAGCTCATGCCAGTAATCCCAGCACTTTGGGAGGCCAAGATGGGTGGATCACTTGAGGTCAGGAGTTCAAGACCAGCCTGGCCAGCATCGTGAAACCCCATCTCTACTAAAAATACAAAAATTAGCCGGACGTAGTGGCACGTGCCTGTAATCCCAGATACTCGGGAGGCTGAGGCATGAGAATTGCTTGAACCCGAGAGGTGGAGGTTGCAG